TATTTAAAATTAAAATGACGAATAAAATAAACTAGTAAAATAGAAAGAAAAAGATTGTAATGATGACTGATATATATATATATATAGATGGACGTGAAAAGTTACTAGGATACCCCTAATATATTTTTTATATAGTTATGACAGATCATGATAAAATTGTAGTATTTTATAGGTGATTGTGTCATTATTGCTCTACCAATTGATCAATTTAATTTATTATCAATAGAACCACTTAAATTCTTAGGTGTATCACCATAATACCATTGTTGAGCACGAATATTGGAAATGAAACTATTTTCTAATCAATTCCACTATTGATCAATCGTAGAAATCTAATCGTCGAATATCATATTATATGAAAAGGAATAATAAATAATTTTTACTTTCGTATAATTATTATTAATTCGCTTTGTAGTTAAAAAATACTTTTGTACATAGTTTACTTGAAAAAAAGCGTTTGAATTTATATTTGTATAAGTAATAAGTTATATTAATATTGGAAAATATAAATAGAACACAATTTCTCGAATAATTGTCCACACATGTATTTCTTTTAAACGTTGATCACGAGCTTAAACTAATTCACCTTCATTTAAACGATCATTACAATTCTGTCAACAATAAGTGAATGGCGATTCACTTGAATGTATATTCTTCATTATGATTTAAATCAAAATCATCATTATCATCCAAATATTCAGCTACTTCGTTATCCATGTCTGATTTTCGAGTAAAGAAAGCAAAGAAAACTGCTAATGCAACCACCTATAAAATATACATGTATACATTTTAAATCATTTCATTATCAAAACAAACTAATTACTTTTGGTCGGCTAATTAAAAGTATTGATTAAGTAAAACCACTTATAAGTGTTATTAACCATTTTCGTGTTTTCAAATCACCATATTGAATACCATGAACGATTATAAAAAATGATGATATCAGAACTAATATAAATGATAAACTATAAGCAAAAAATAAATACCACGAAGGAAATCTGAATCGTGATCGTTTCGTTTAATTTAATTTTATACTAAAAAAAATAAATAAAGATGAAAAATGAAAAGATGTTAACTAACGATTGTCTTGATTGTTGTTTGTGTGATTGTCGAGTTAATATTTGTCGAGAGAATTGAGCAAGTAATAAGCATAGAACAAATGGGAGAATTTCAACAATTGTATCAATACTAATCTAATTTTATTAAAATAAATTTTATTTAACTAACTGTAAAAAAAGAAAGAAAATGAAATAAAACCTATTGAGCACTGATCTGTAATAGACCAAATTATGAACTTCCACTTGTTTCTTTTGCTTGATCATAATAAAGAACATTTAAAAGCATTGCAGTAAAAAGTAATACAAAACAACAAGTACATCGTTGAACACGTGTAAATTTATTTGATGATGGATGAGAAAATATTTTATTCGATCTATCATCTATATATAAACAAATCATAGTGGTGCTCATATGAGCCACTCGTGTTCGCTATACTGCGAATCATATTCTAAGTCAAGCCTAGATTCATATATACTTACAAATCAAAGTATACAATTGATGTATCAAAGATTTTGAAAAAAAAACAAATTTTTTTAAAATTTATAATAATAATCGAATTACTTACCGATGAAAAAATAAGAAGAGTTTCTTATTATTAATAGGCTAATAGTGTGATATTTATGAAGAAATTAACAATAACATGTAACAATGAAACAAAATGATTCAATTGCCGAAATGTTCGCCTTATTTATAGGGTGATAATGTTTTTTTCTCTCTAGCCTCTTCATTGACCTTGTAGCCGAAAATAGTTCTTTTTCTAATGTATTTTTATTATAGTGAAAGAGGCTTGAGTTATATTCTTTACAAAAATAAAAAATGAGTCACGTTCTTCAAGATATAACTATCTTATATTTAGTTTCGTGTGTTCTTCAATATCAGACTGGTCACGAACAATTTAGATCCATGATATAAATCTGTTTACATTAAAATCTGTTTCAAGGTTGTTCATGTATTTTTATATATGTTCTATGATTATGATGAAAAATGATCATGAAGTACATGAGATAATATTCAAAGCTTTTTTTTCGCTATTACATAGTTTTATTTCATTAAAAAAATCAGTAATTAACTGGTAAATATTCAATACTCATTTAAATGAATCAACAAATTTATAAAACAAGTAACGCTCATCCGATGGATTCGCTGACCCTTTTCTGAAAGAAGATTTCCTATGATTTTCATTTTGAATACATATTAACAAAAGAAACCTGGACAGGCACTTATCATAAAATCTTAATCGACCACAGTTCATGTTTAATTAGAGGAATAAACGATCAGTCGCAGCCGTATATCTCATTTTTTGAAAAACTGACTTGATTCAAAGAGTTTAAGGATTTGTGACGTTATATATTCGAGAATTCTTACACTTTTAAAATTATCTTAGCAAAGCAACCTTACTATTTCCGAACAATCAGGAAAATTGATATTATGAAAAGAATTGATCCCCTGTCCAAAGTGTATTCAGCAAGTTTAATAGCATCACCAAACTGCTATATGTTTCGGCTCACCCTGAACCACGACTATACGAAAAAAAATTATTCATTTAAAATGAGACAATCCCGAACAGCTCTTAAAACCTTTTAGGGTCGTACAGCTGCATATCTATTCCTGCTCGCGCCACAACAAACAAATAATGCCATGTTTGCATTCACAAGTCCTTTATGGAATAGGTGTTGTCAGGTCAAATGTGTAATTAAGATTTCTTTTTAGCTCAAGAACCGAATCACTTAACAGTTTCGCAAAAAACCACAAATCTCACTTATTACACTTAGGACAAACCATTTAAATCAACGCCTAGTCGTTCGTCGGCCTCCCTTCGGTCGGCCACTCACGGCTAGCCGTTACCAAATTATCCTACATTTTTCTATCTATCATCTGTTACATTAGGATTTTTCACGTGCATCAAAACTATTTCACTCATAACATATCGATTCGCAATCGGAAACTTTCAACATTTAGATAGCACTACGTATTGTTCATCATAGTTTCCAATTTCTTTTTATTCTGACACAACGATATGCTGCCGGATTCTTTCTCGAATTAGCATTCATTAAGTGCTCTCAAAAAACCATTTGAACTAACTAAGACTCATTTCAAAGCTGTGCTTTAAAACAACCTTTAAAATTAACGTCTACCTGTTCGTCGGCCTCCCTTCGGTCGGCCACTCACCGCT